TTTCTTGGCCCTTCTTCTCATCTTCATACTTTCTTAATCGAGCCAAGAATTCCTCATAATCTTTATTCATTTTCACCGCCCACTTCGAGGTTGACCCCCTCTTTGATCATGACAAACCCTCTTTTCTCATTCATTTCCAAAAAATGCTCCTCGTGCAGTTTTGAATTAAAGTCTTCGACAGTCTCGAAGGTGAACGGTTGAGTGAGCACCAAATTCTGTAATGACCGACCAGCCTGAGATACAAATGTTACAAACTCATGCTGGTCCCCTGGAATTATTTCGAGATGTCCATCTCGATTCCACATAAACAACTTTTGGTGAGTCGTGGAAGGTACGGCTCCAACCCCATGAATCCACTCCCGGCCAAGCAACGCATTAAAATTGGCATATGATTGGACCACTACAAACACAGTAGGCCTCGAATAAGTACCCACTTTCACATCTAGGGCAATCATTCCTTCTGAGCTCGATGATTTTCCACTGAAATAAGAAATCATGATATTATGCCTGACTAAGTCTTTCAATTCGATACCAAACCTCTTCAACATAGTGATTGACAATATATTCACCGTTGCACCACCATCAACAAGGACTTTATTCACCTTCTGTCCTTGAATTTCAATGTTCAGTAATAAGGGTTTCAGATGAAACCTCATTTCCTCAGATGGGGGATCGATAAAAGCAGCATCTCTATGGGGTATTTCGCATGATGCTTGTGTTACCCATGTCACTTTCGGTCTCATGTCTTCAGAATAGAAATCGTCTTCTCGATCGACATCACTTTGTCCTTGATATTCTTCGTACTCGCTAACATATTCTGCGGACAGTATCGATATTACTCCAATTTGATGTTCATCCTAACTACCTTCATTTTTGTCATCGACAAAGTCTCTTGCATATTGACTCCCAATTGGTATACTACTATCTTTGAAGTTCCTATAGTTATTGATCCTTCCGCAGTAAGGGATCCTTCCTCCTCTTCTCCAAGGCCTTCCTCGAAATCTCCTTTGGAATGTAGGGAATCCAGTATTCGATCCTTCATCATATGAAAGTCTTTCGAAAACATCATTATTTTGAAGTCTGCCCCTTCCTCCCCGAGGATACATTTCTTTCCTAACCCATTGTTTCTGATTTCTACTAGTACCAGAGCCAACAGATCTCTGCTGACTTTTCTCTACCGTTGCATGATCTACTTTATTATTGTCATTTTTATGTTGATCCTCGATTTTCTTTATTTGTCCTGCTCTAAAGGCTTTAGCAGCTGATCTGTCGAACACCGCACTGCATCGTGGACATAATGTCACACCTTCATCCTTCTCTTTCTTTCTATTTAAAAATTCAACGAGGGAATCTTCTGATCGATGATAGATCTCTTTCTCGAACTCTTTCTCGAACTCGCTTAGGTCGAACTCTGTCTTCTTCTGACATGTTCATTCTGACATGTCTGGGATCGATGTCTTCAGTAACATCAACCATACCTATAAAAGTCGAATTTATCAACCAGACATCTTCAGTCATGCCCGTTTGGGGTTCGACATACCCTACTTGAACTTCAAATGGACTCGTATCCACTTTCATTGACATCTCCTCAAACTTCAATCTTCCTTGGTCGATAGCATCTTGGATCGTGTTCCTGAAATGTATACAATTATTAGTCCAGTGTCCATAGATGTTATGAAATTTGCAATATTTTCGACCATTTCTTTGTTCTGCAGAAGGTAATTTATGATCATCGCTCAACCTAATCTGTTTGTCTTTCAATAAAATATCAAAGATTTTATCTGCCTTTGTTACATCAAAAGTATATGTGCGATTCGTCATTTTGTCTTTTATTTCATTTTTCTGTAGCAATTTACAAATATATGGAGCTCCTACTTTGAGCTCTGCCATATTTACTTTCTCATCGATAGATTCTTTAATATCTACTTCTGTCCTGGGATTTTCCTCATATATGTCATTTACATATGCTACCCTTTCTTTCTTCATGAGTTTCTCAAATTTCTTGTACCTTTGTTTCTCATATTTGATTTGTTCCACTCTTCTCACTTTATCAGCTAACTGAGCCATGTCATTCAACGACAGATTAACTAACTTTTTCCTAATCGAGAATTCTAAGCCTGCAGAGGTCATTCTGACTAATTCAAATTCAGGAATTTGAGTAAAACATCTCGACTTCATTTGCCTAAATCTATTCAAATAATCATCTACGCTTTCATGATTGTATCTCTTTATATTCATTAAGTCAATAAGACTTACTTGAGTCTCCCCCTAAAGAATTGCTCATGAAAATTTCTTTCTAGTTGCAACCAATTATATATCGAATTAGGTGACAACGAAGTAAACCAAGTGAAAGCATTTTTTGTTAATGAACTAGGAAAATATTTCATTTTTAATTCTTCACTCATCGCTAGGTCCCCACATTCGATTTGATATCGCACCACATGCTCGATAGTGGATTCACCGATTTCTCCAGCAAATTTGGTGAATTTGGGTATTTTGTATCTCGAGGTAATTTTGTATCGAGAATCGTATTTGGAAAAGGAGAAACAAAATACGGTTGATTGGGTGGTCTTAATTCTACTCCTTGGGGATTCATCCTTTGTCCTAGCATGTGATTATACTGCATGTTATTTTGATTATACATATTTTGAAATCCCTCATTCAAATCTCCGTAAGGATCATTCCTCACATGTTGATATTCATTCCCTATATGCCGATGTTGATCGATGTTTCGATTTCTCCGTAATAAATACAGAGGATTGATATTAGCGTTTTGGTTAATATTCTGATTGGCATTATTTTCGATCCTCGTTTGTCGAGGTATTGCCAATGCATCCCCGATACATGCCATTTGGTCTGCTAATATCTCAAAACTAGTGGTAGTGTTTTGCACTAATGGATTTAGTACCGTAGTCAACTGTTGTGATAACATGTTAACCATCTCGAAATTACTCTCATCCATTTGTTGTCGAAGTACTCCTAATGAACTACTGGAAATTGCAGTACTAGCGTTTTCGATAGTCTCAGAATTGGATCGATGGTGATCCCTATCGAATGTATATCTCCCGTGATCTATGTTTGTTCTGTAATCTAGGTTTGGAGGTGTCTGTTGTGTACCTACATTCTGCACATTCCCTGAATTCTGGGGTGTTACTAAATTTTGAGACGCCCCTAAATTTGGGGATACTCCAAAATTTTGAGACATACCTAAAGTTTGAAACGTACCTAAATTTTGGGACATTCTTAGGTTAAATCTCGAACTTCGTTGTATTGAAGAAGTACCAGCCCCATTCATATTATTAAGCAAAAAACCAGGCGGCCTTACGCTCATATACGGTCCTGCATATGTTGTTATGGGGTTTCCCGTAGTTTGCATATTGTTTGATATCACAATACTAGACCCTACCTGAGTGTTTGCTAATGTGCCTGAGCTTTGTTCATTACTCACAAGCATCGAAGTACTCACATTTGTTGATATTACAGGCATATTCCCATTGTGACCTTGCCCCCCAGTGTTTGGTGGATGTGAACCATTTAGAATCTCATTGTTACTCTGATTATTTGGTGGATTTTGACTCATTCTTATTACTCGTCCGCTCCTTAATCTCATACACTTTCGAACTAACCAATTTTCCGTGTTTTTCGACACAATGCCTCCCTACCTGGCGCGCCAATTTGTTTCTGGTGGAAATTTGGTTGATTTCGATGTCTTAGAGACTTAAGTTCTAACCAACTTTCAACCACGTAGACTCTTTTTACTTAGGCTAACAAACGTATTTCAATCGAAACATGTATGAGAATCGAAAATACCACAATATCGAGAAAATGCTACTAACGTAATATGACATACAGATTGACAATCGAAAGTACTTTTTTTTTTGGTATTTTTCTATTAGGAAACATCGAAGTAAAGAAAAACAGTAAAAGTGTTGAATCGAAAAGCTGTGCAGAATATTAGATTGCAGAGAAATGTAAAATGCGGAAACCTAAAATTTGCATTAAGTGTAAATGACAAGGAATCGAAATTACAAAAAATGTAAATGACAGGAAATCGAAATTACAAAAATGTAAATAATAGGAAATCGAAATTGCGGAAGTATAAATGGCGAAGGACTTAATAGCAGAATCTTAACTTGCATTAAGGTAAATGACAAGGAATTGAAATGACAAGAACTTAAAGTTGATAAACGTAAATTGCATGAAAGTAAATTACCAGGGAAAGTAAAGAAAGCGGTAAAAACAGTCAACGATAATTGAAATCCAGATCGCCAGAAATTTCATGATTCGTCGTTCTCTGGTAGACTTTCACTTATGCTTCTGTTGTCTCTCCCAATTTCCTCTTTTTCTTCAAGCTTCATTCTATTTATAGGCGTCCTCCAATGTAACCTCCAAAGAGCAGTTAAAAAACTGTCACCACGTTCCATGTGCACGTCTTTCAATTTTTTACTTTAACTTACGGTTTAGGAAACCGCTTTCACGTTCTATGTGCAATTTAATTGCTTCTCGATTTCTAACCTCAGCCACGATGTGGAAAGCCACTCTACACGTTCCAATATGCATGATAAACCGTTTCCCTCGATATCGATTCCAGTCATCAAATACGATTTCCCTTAACCTATTTTATCATTACTTTCATCGATTTTCCCCTTTTTTCTTGATTTTCGATTCTCATTCTCGATCTATGCGTTCATACTAATAGTCACCAGGTATCTCCCCACCACCCATATGATCTTCGATCTTTTTCTTCTGTTTTTTTATCCTTATATCGATTTTCCACTAACACTTTGTGAGTTGACTTTTAAGGGAAGAAAGATTTTTTCCTTCCACCTTATCAAATTTCCTATAACGTTCTAACAGTAGAGATCTCAATCACCCGTTATCATTTTCAAAGCATATCTCCATTTGTGTACTATTTCCAAATCATCTTTCAACATTTCTTTTGTTCAGCGATAGGTTTTTCAAACTTTCGACTTTGTTTCCGAACCTCTGAGGGAGTGACATCATAGAAAACAGGTAAGCACACTTCGGCCTGTTTCTTCAACCGAATCCACAATCTTTGTGAGCTCTTTCATGCACCATGTGGATGATGCATAGTCCTTTGAGAAGACAACAATGAAAACACGCGATCCTTCGATAGCCTGCAATCGCTGAGGGTCCAAGAGCTCCCCTTTCTTGATTTTTTGGTCATCTCTGAAGGCAACACCTTTTCTCTGAAGAGCAGCAAAAAGGTGATCGGTAAAACCATTACGAGTATCCTCACCTCTAAAGCTTACGAACATGTCGAAATTTCCTGTGCGTGATGAAGAGCTAGTATGGATGCTACTGCAAGCCATTGCACAAGCCTTCTTTCGTGATATAGAAGTGGGAGGACAAGCCTTCTTTTAAAGAAAGGAGAAAGCTGGGCAATGAACAGTCTTCTACAAAATAAGTCTCAATGACAAGCCTTTCTTAATGAGATTTTGCTTTCAATATAACCAATTTATCTCATGATATTAACCAAATGAGCTTGTATTATGAGTGTGAAGAATATATATATAGTTTTAAAAGTAAAGTTTGTTTTCAAATGAGCTTTAACTAATATTTTAATCAGCATAATTGTTGTTTTTCACTGATACTTGATTATGAAGTAAGTAACTAGGAAAGAGTTTGAACAAGCATGAGTGAAAATGGAATCAACTTTAACTATACACAGGTGCTCTTTCACCTTTCAACTTGTGGACCCTTTCTTTCTGTGCGTTGCTTTCCCTCCAGCATCGCATATATTGCCAAGTTCTGCTTGATATTATTCTAATCTTTGAATATATGTCCAAATTTTATTTTCCACTTTTGATCACAAAGCAGAAGAGAAATATGCTAGTTTTTAAAGTTACTTTGTGCTCGAAATATCTAAAAAAATGAAATAGTGAAACTTTCTGGAAACAACTTCTGAACAAATTCTCCACTGTAAAGAAAAGGATAATGTGTTGTCATAGTTATGTTAAGCGTGTCAGATAGGTGTGTTGCTGCTTTTAGAACTGAATAATTGAACTAACTTTAAATCAAACATTTAGTTACTTCCAGCTGCACATTAGCCTAGTGAATCATACTTGATTTCTGCAAGCCATTCAGATAATTTTTGCTCGACAGGTTCATCCAATTAAACTCGTGGATAGATCCATCCTCTTCTTTGAAATTAAAATAAAATAAAATAGAGTCAGCTTTTTTATTTTTTTTTCGTTTTAAAAAATTAATAATGTAATTCTCACATGATATTTTATTTCTCTTTCAATTTTATATTTAAATTTAAGTATTTAAATATTAAAATTTTTAAAATTTTCTTGTGAGTTTAATTTTTTAATTTTTTTAGTAGGTAAGATTAATAAGTTCATTATATTATTTTTTTTATAATTTTATAATTTTTTCAATTAATTTAACTTTTTCTATTATTTCAATCAAGTTGAGAAATATAATTTTTTTTTAATTTTTATTATTTTAAATATTTTATATCATTTTTAATAATAATTAATATTCTTTATTTTTAATTTATTTTTATCAAATTTTATTATGTTATATTTTTTAAATTTTATTATTTTTATTTATTATATATCAAACTTTATCTTAATAAAATAATTATATTTTGAAGATTAATAATAATTAATAATTAAAACTTTTATTATTTTAAACTAATTAAATAAAAATTATCTTATTAAATATTTTCTTATAAAATAATTTTAATTTATATATAATCAAATATTTAAATATAATATTATAATATATAATAATAATACTAATATTATAAGTATTTTATTTTTTATAAAGAAAAAAATTTAAATATTTCTTTTATTTATATATATATATAATAAATTAAAATATATACTTTATTAATAATAATTAAAAATTCTAAATATTTATTACTGAATAAAAGATATATAAAAAATATTATATTATAAATATAATTATTTAAAAAAAAAATGGAATGAATTCACAATAAAGAATCTAAAATTTAATAAATGAGAGTTTAATTTCTAACCGTCAAATAATTAAAAAAGTCGCGGAAGAAAAACCGCCCCGATACCTATATCTATGGATGCCGTTTGTCCAATTTTCTCCGTATCCTCTCCGTGCTCCTCCCACTGCTTACTTCTCCTGTTCTTCATCTCCTCATATCTATTTTGTATTTTTTATTACTCCATAATGCTCTCCTCTCTTTGCTGCTAGGAAAAACAAAATGCGAATTTTGCAATGAATTGTGTAAATTCATTAAAAAACTTCACAAGAAAAGTCCAGGAAGAATGAAGAAGTGTCAGTAGTGTTCAGTAACAATTATTTGACATCTTTTATGCTTTTAACTTTAATTTTGGTTATTTTAGTTTAGTTTTGGACAGTGTTCTTTTATCTTTAAATTTATTTTTTTTTCTTGTGTTTAATTTTTGTTATTTTTTATTTTTTTAATTTCGAATATATTAGTTGACGGATAAAATTTGGAAAGGAGTTGGAAGATAGTGATAATTGCATGTTAGAAGATCTAATAAATACAAAACCCAATAGTCTCTTGTGAACCATCCTTGCCATTCAACTCAGTTTTGCTCCAAATAGTATTGTGAATAAATCACAATTAAGGTAACTCAGTTTTGCTCCAAATAGTATTGTGAATAAATCACAATTAAGGTTGATCCAAGTATGAAGCTTCTTGTTGGCATTGACTCGCAACTTTGTCTTGAAGTTTGCATTTGATTTCTGAAATGGAGAGAACAAAGCACCACTAAATCAATCAGAGCATAGGAATAGGATTAACTGTTAGACCAGAAACATCATTATTGATCAGACATAATTGTAGCCAATATAAAGAATTAAATATGTACTGAGAGAACTTAATTTATTCACAGGATTAGCCAACCTCCAAGAACAATCAATCCTAATCTAAACCTTAGGGCCTAATAGAAACACTAGGATAGTCAAATAACACAAGTCGATGGCCAGTGAGGGACTCTGTGTGTTTGTTTACACGCAGGGTTTGGTTGGAGACTGAAGAAGAGTGTGGGGTGAGAGAGAGCCAAGTGGCGGTGAGGGTTTTGCGTGAATGATGAACCAAAAAATAAAAAATAAGGCAGAGGTGCACAGATTGTGTAGGGTGAGTGTGGAGATGAAGATTAGGGCACAATATAGGTGGCTCATGCGAAAGAAAAATAGAGTGTAGTTGAAATGTAGAGGTGATGGTCACATGAAAAAATAATACCCGGTAAAAAATTAGGAGAGAGTGAGTAGGTCTAGAAATAGAGAAAATAGAATATGACTGTTGGGGAGATAAGATCAAGAGGTTGAACAAGATATTTTAAAATATTAATTTTCTATTAATTATATTGTTATTTATTTTATATCTATATATATATATATATATATATATATATATATATATTATTTTAATTATTGGGAGTGTTGACAGCAATTAAGTCACTAATATCATTCATCAATTTTTCTTCTGGAACAAGTGAGGCCTTAGCCCCAGATGAATGAGTACTGCAAAAAAAATGGGAAAATCGATTTTTATGTTATTGTCCTCAAAAGGTGAAATTGGTGGTCTGAAAATAAGATGATTTCTTATAAGATCTCAAGATGGTAAAATTTAGAATCTCAAGCCCTAGCATTTTCTTGAAGAAAGTGATTGGGCTAAACATGTGCCAACGATGTAGAGAATAGAACACTCTTCCACATATACTAATATACATATATTTCTTATAAATTTGTAATTAATTCTCGTATTATTGTAATATTTTTTTTAGCTCTCGTTTCAATTTTTAGACCTTTGAAAATGGTAAGAGAATTATCAAATAAATTACCTATAAAGCGGTTGAAAGAGTCCTGTTCCCTTGATTATTTGAAGTAAAAAGTTATCTGTTTCTAAAAAAAATATCATTATTATATCATTAATAAAAGAATATATATATATATATATATATATATATATATATATATATATATATATGAATAACTGTAATCTCAAAATATTTCTGTATTAAATTTTACCTGAAACCCATTGAAGTTACTCTGAAGCAGGGGTGGTTGAGAAGAAATATCTAGGCTGAAGGCTCTCCGCGGTCAATCACTTGTTAGTTTCCTCTTTTGAGATGAAGAATTTTTGCCAAACATCATGTCTGAGTTTAATTGCTGAAGATCCTCTTTAAGTACCAAACGATAACCGCAATTTTTCATCACAACACGTAAACCTTGAAAATTATCCGAAATAATTTCGAATTCCAACCTAGGATCAAGCATTTTGTCTGCATCTTGATTAAGAAGAACGATCAATTCTTCCCGAGAGTAAAACAATGTAAACAAGTGATCTAATTCAACTGTCACCAGATCTTTCTCGAAATATATTGGAACACATATAACTTTTTCGCCAAATGGGTTTATTATGGACACCGTATGCAATACAATCATGATGATGATTCTTTCCGTCACTCAAATTCGTAGGATGTTGGTGTGTGACAAATAGTACACAAAAGGCAACACCTATCCAATTTGGATCATCTATAACAGAAGATAGATCCACACTTATTGAACCACGAGCATTTTGTTTATTGAACCACTTTGGAATTTGAGTCCCAGGAATAACAATTTCCATCATAGCAGAGGAAGTAATTCGTTGGAAGTAAACCTGATTTCAGCAAGTTATATATGAAAAGTGCAAACAGAAAAAGTGAGAAAACGAAAAAAGATTGAGTGGTTACCTCAAGATTTTGCGTCATCCAAGAAAAAACCATTCTATAGCAGTGTTCTATATCACTCAAACTGGGGCAGTAAAAAATGTATAATCGCCACCAATATTTGCCAATTGTTTTGTCTTTTGTTATTGGAAGCTCGGGCAAATATTTTAGTTGCTTGCAGTGCTCCAAGTTCAACATTTCAAGTTTGGAAAGTTGCTTGATGGTACAAGGTAGTGTCACAAATTTGTTTCCTCCTAAATTTAGTCCAACTAAAGACTGCAAGTTCCCGATTGCATCAGGGATTTGAAGTAGATTGCAAAAGCTCAGATCAAGATATGACAAACGTTGGAAACGAGATAAATAAGGTAACAACAAACCAAGGGAATCTTCAGGTTTTGGAGAGGATAGAAAATTGAAAGGCAATATTAGAAGTTTGTATACAGAGGATGTTGACCGTTGGACGACACTTGTATTTTTATCAACTTTTTCCAAATGTTGTGTGTCTCTTGGCTCCATTAACATCTTACTATTCAGTAATTTTGAACATCCAGAGAGATTTAAGCTTCTTAGAGAACCGAGCCCAAAAATAATATTCAGATTAAGGACAAGATTTTTACAATTTTTCAAATCCAGATCAATAAGTTCTCTTAGAATACCAATGGATGGATCTATCTGGACAAGTTCTATACATCCTTCTAGTAGAAGACTCGTAAGATGAGGAACCCCTGTTAAGTCTGGCATCTCAATAAGATTTTTGGAGTGACATGAGATCCAGAATTCTCAACTTAGGCAGGATCTGTTGGGGAAGCATAAGTAAGACAAATTTAATTTTCCATTAAAAAAGGTAACCAAAAAGACAATCCTTAGTATTTTTTTTATTTGTGCAATTAGAAAGAGACAAAATGAAAAAAAATTTTAACCTTTCCCTTTTTTGTGTAAAAGTAAGTTCAAGAAATGAGGTGAAATATCATTTAAATAGAGACAAGAAAATTGAAAGAAAAAACCAATTTAACGGAACTTTAAAAAAAATGAGATGGAGTATCTTTCTGATGGAGGCAAAGAAATATGAAAACTAACAATATGTAGTACCTTTGTGCCTTCCCATAATTTCTTGATATTGCTATAACGCAGTTGCAATTCTACAAGTTGATCTGGCTCGAAAGTTGATGGCAAAGACACGAAAGGAAAGTTATCCCAATTCAGATACCTCAGTTCATTAGAAATACAATTCAGAGATCCAAAAGTGTTCACATTCTGAAGTATGAGCAATTCAAGGTGATTAATTTTTGACAGAGCATCCACTCTTATTCTTTCTTGTAGAAACTCTTCTGGACGTTGTTCAATAACTATAGCTTCAAGATTTTTGGCTTCCTAAAGCAATATAAAAAGTAAAAAGCAATTATTATATTTTTTTAATAATTTAAAAATTTTTGAAGAATGAGAATCCAAGATTTCATATTAAAAAAAAAAAAAACTTTTACCGTATTTATTTTCATGGCTTTTTGGAGATCCTTGTAGTCCCATAACCTGCTCCACTTTCTTGGTTCCTTGGGTGCTTCTTCTCTGACAATACTCTTCCCCAACTCTTGCAACAAGTCATGCATTTGAATCTCCCCATCTCGACAACTAATAAGTGATTTCTCAATCAGAACTTTCATACCAATGTCAGGATAAAATTCTCGATAGTCTAGAAGTTTCTTCACTTGATACTCGCCGCAGTAATGATAACCCCATTTCGATAAGAAACAAGCAATATCTAGAAATATTTCTTTCTCTAGACTCTCCAATCCATCAAAACTTATTCGCAGCACATCCATTATATCCTTCCTTGGATTTTCTTTCATTCTGGCCAACGCACTTCTCCATTCAGAAACATCTCGATCATGTAAAAATGAGCCCAATACTTTAATTGCTAAAGGAAGACCGTTCACATATTTGAGTACATCATATGTCAACCCTTTATATTCTTCCTTAATATCGTTAGATCTGAAAGCTCTTTTGCATAGTAATTGAAGAGCATGTGTTTCATCCAAGAGTTCAACATCGTAAACTTTATTTATTTCATAATTTTGCAAGATATGGCGATCTCTAGAGATTATGATGATTATACTCCCTGGGCCTAGATACTCGGGATGCAAACCCAAATTCTCTAATTGTTCAACTTTTTCAACATTATCAATAACAACAAGCGTCTTTAAGTGACATAGCCTAGTTCTCATCAACATGGTTCCATGGGACAGATTGTGTATCTCCACATTTTTATTTAGAGCTTGACAAAGAAGTTGTTTTTGTGCAATTGTTGCTCCAAAATCCAAATAAATTTTGCTTAAATCATCAATGTAACAGCAAGCATTATACTGAGGAGAGATTTTATTAAACAATGCAGTTGCAAGTGTCGTCTTTCCTATTCCACCCATCCCACGAATTCCCACAAGCCCAACAACATCATTTGCACCCAAATCCAGAAATTCTTCCAATTTTTTAACACGAGAATGCATATCAACAAAATCATCTCCAAAACTCAAAATTTGATTATAACCCAATATGTTGATTACCTCTTCAACAATGTTTTCGATTTCTTCATTTTGTTGCCTGTGCGACCAAAGTTCAGCAAAAATACAATCATCACTCAGAATAAAGTAAAGACTTATAACATAAAAAATCTAGCTTTATACTTACTTATTTTGTATATCCCACCCACAACGATCGGCACTTGTTTTGAGCGCTTCCCTCCATTTTTTTAGCATTTCCAAGTCATCTTTGAACCTTTCTTCGTGTTGAGCAAAAGCTTCTGCAAACTCTCCACTCTGTTTTCGGACCTCAGAAGGAGTGACATCATAGAAGATAGGGAGCAAACTTCGACCTGTTTCCACGATCTTCGTAAGCTCTTTCATGCACCATGTGGATGATGCATAGTCCTTCGAGAAGACAACAATGAAAACTCGTGACCCTTCAATTGCGCGCAAGAGCTCAGACTCCAAGAATTCCCCTTTTTTTATTGTTTGGTCGTCTCTGAAGGCCAGAACATCTTTTCTCTGAAGAGCAGCAAAAAGGTGATCAGTAAAACCGTTACGAGTATCACCTCTAAAGCTAACAAACACGTCAAAATTCTTCGTTCGTGATGAAGAGCTGCGTTGAATTTGTCTGCAAGCCATTGCAGAAGGTGATAACTGGGTTGCTTCAGAAGATAATGTGCGTATAGAATAATACTCCCAAGGTATCAGCAGGAGAAAAGTGAATTCATAAAGCAAATGAGAAAGCGCGTGGAAATTTACATTGGAAGACCGATTCTAAGGTGTCGGTCGGACTTATTAAGGGTCTTTTATATGTTTTCATATATATATATATATATATATATATATATATATATATATATATATATATATATATATATATAAATAGATTTAGTCATATAATGTTTTACAAGGAGTTTTCCCTTTTATTATTTTTGGATGAAACTCAGTAATTTGCAACTTTGACTCAAAACTTCTTTAGAAGTCCTTTCTCATGCATCATACTTCACATTCTATTCTTTCTCTCTGTTACTCTATTTAGTTGTAGAATGTATGGAGTATAGTAAGTTGTTGCTCAATAATATGGAATAGTAAGTTGTTGCTCAATTCCAACCTCCTCACAAAATGTATTAAATTGAACAAAGGTGTAGTTTCTTCCATTATCATATTTTAAAACCTGAAATTTACAACCAAAATGATTTTCACTCCAAGTCTAGAACCTCAAAAATACTTTTGCCAACTTAAATCTCAATAGATAAGGACATTAATATATAATTTCTTTTAAACAGTGGTGAATCTTTATTATTGATTATGAGAGGTCATGTAATATCTTATTAAAAAATAATAAATAAATATAAAAATGTAAAAAAAATGAAATGATAAAAAATAAAATTGTAAATATATAAATAAATATATAAAATAATTATTAAGTTTGATGAGATAAAATCATAAATTATATTAAAGTTATAAAATTAAAAATAAATTAAAAAGATAAAATTATAAATATATAAATAAATATATTAAAATTTGAAAGAATGAAATTCATAAATTACGTACAAATTACAAAACTTTTACAATTCAGTTTAAGCTCCTCGGAGTATCTATGAATCAACTGCATCTTTTGTGATGGTCTCCAACTTGTTTGTGAAAATAGAAGTTTACATGTTTGTGATCTTCCAATAATAATAGCAAGTCTATCACAATCTTATGCTTCTTTCATGTTCGGTAATACGATACGGTTGAAATTCAATAATGCTATCGTTAAAGGATCAATAGCAGAAAATTTTTCTTGGATTTCTAAACTTGCATCAATTCTAAAACATTTCTTCTTATTACTTGATGTGTCAATTACTTTCGAAAACATCAAAGTTAACTTCATCATCTTTTTTATTTTCAATTGTCACTGGCAAAGTAAAACTTTCTAGATCTGGAGTCTAATTATAAGTTATAAAAAAAATGTGTAAGTAATTATTTTTTTTTTTTTTGAAAATATGACCCTGAAACCTAAAGAAAATCCACCTTCCAGATAGATGAGAGGTGGATGTTAAGTATCTAAACAAATATTTACATATATTTCCTTTTATTATTATTATTTTGACTCTTTTAATTTATTATGAAATACTTTGATATCTATCGTTTGGTTTTTTATTTTCAATTTATTTATTATTATAACAATCAATATATTTTATCAAGGAAAAAGAACTTAATCCATCCGATTCATTAATATTCCATGTGGTTTGATAATGTCTTAATTATTGAACTCTTAAAAAAAATTATTTTATTGAGAATTGAAGTTTATTTAAACTTTATAATAAAAATAAATTTTTAAGTCTTTATATATATTATATTAATTTCTTTTAATCACTGAGTTTAGATGATAGTAAAATAGATTAAGATAGCCTATAAAAGTATTTCTTTCTCCATTTCCTCCAATCAATCAAAACTTATTCGTAACACATCCATGATATCTTTCCTTGGATTTTGTTTCAGTCTAAACTAACCAACGCACTTCTCCACTCACAAACATCTCTATCAAATAAAAAGGAGCCCAATACTTCAACTGCTAATAGAAGGCCATCAGCATACTTCAGTACTTCATATGCCAAATCTATATAATCTTTCACAATGTTATCACATTTGAAAGCTTTTCTGCAAAGCAATTGAAAAGCTTTATCTTCATTCAGGAGTTGAACATTGTAAATTGCATCCACTTTATGATTTCTTAAGATATGATTATCTCTAGAGATTATCACAACTCTACTCCCTGCACCTAGGTGCGTAGGTAGTAAAGCCAATTTCTCAAGTTGTTCAAGTTTATCAACATTATCAAGAATAATAAGTGCCTTTAAGTGAGATAACCTACTTCTTACCAACTTGATGCCCAGGGAAACGTTATGTATCTCCATATTACCTTGGTTAAGAGTCTGACAAAGGAGTTGTTTTTGTACACTTATTGATCCAAAATCCCTGTAAATTTTACTTACATCATCAATGTAACAAGAAGCATCATATCGAGGAGAGATTTTATTAAACAGTGTTGTAGCAAGTGTGGTCTTTCCTATTCCACCCATCCCACAAATTCCTACTACTCGAACATCTTCATTTGCACCAGATCTAAAAGTTCTTCCAATTGTTTCACACGAGAGTGCATATCAACTAAATCATCCCCAAAACACAAAATTTGATTATGACCCAATATATTGTTTACCTCATCAACAATTCTCTCAATTTCTTCATGTTGTGGCCGGTACCAAAAGTAGGGGAAAAAACACCAAATCCTCACTAATAGTTAACACTTCCATAAATAAATTCATGTGTTATGAAAAAATAACTGACAATTAAACACTTACTTATTTTTTACATCCCACCTACACCAATTGGTAATTGCTTTCTGATGTAGACATGACCTATGAGAAGAGCTAGAGTAAGGGAAGTAAAAGAAACTTTTTAACAAATATTGTTGGTTAACCAAATTGTGTTTTGGATTAATCAATTAATGAGTTTTGATTTGATTTTATTAAGTTGTAATAAGGGTTCAATTAGAAATATAGTCTGGTGGACCAAGATGATGCATAACTGATTGACTTTTAGTTATCACAATTTCAGTTCCTATGCTGGTTCTGGAAGGCTTTCAACATCGGTTGTTGAACCGACATTGAAAGTATGATTTTTTAAATTAATAATTTTTATTTATTTACAACCCCTTTACCCCCTTTATTTATTTAGAAGTCTCCCTCTCTTTATATTATATTTTTTAGAAGTTTATTAATTTTTTAAGAGAATTGTCATTGGCAGGATTCGAACCCAATACTTTAGAGTTGGAGGCCGATACTCCAACCACTAAACTACTAGAATTTTCTCGATAATAACTTAGAAATAAATTATATTTATATACAAATAAATATATATCTCGTGTAAATATATAAATATATAAATACAAATATATTTATATATTTTGATATATTTATATATTATATATTTATATGTTGGATGTGAGGGCACACTCGAAAGTGAAAGTGTGTGTCGAGTGAGTTTTCAAAATTTGATGCTAAATTTGTGAGCAAGTATCTTTATATGAGTTTGTAATTTAATGACAGAATATAATTTTTATAATTTTATTTATATAATGATATAAAATAAATTTGGGAAACGCATTATTCGTTCTCAAGCGAAAAATACCAATTTTTGTTCAAACAAGACTTGAGTGAGTGAATTTCCGTGAGCTTTAGCATATTTTCACTCAAGCGAGAGTCAATCACACTTTCACCCTCGATCGAAAAATACCAATATAATTTATTTGTAAGTTATTATAAAAAAATTATAGTAGTTTAGTGGTTGGGATATTAACTTTCAACCCTAAAATACTGGGTTCAAATGTCGTCAGTGACAATTCATTAACTTAAGTGAATTTTTGGCTGAAAAAAAAATAAAAATACTTTCCAGAAAATATATACAAATAAATATATATTTACATGGATATATATTTATTTGTATATAAATATAATTTATTTGTAAGTTATTATTAGAAAATTATAATAGCTTAGTGGTTAGAGTAGTAGTTTTCAATTCTAAAATCCTGAGTTCGAATCCTGCCAGTGACAATTTTCAAATTTTAAGTGAATTTTTGGTAAAAAAAATTAAAAAAAAAGACTTTCCACGTCGTTTCATATGTGAACCGACGTGGAAAGTGTCAATAAGTGAAAAAAAATAAAAATAAAAAGAATTTCAACGTCGGTTCATATGGGAACCGACGTATTTCTACGTCGGTTGACTAAGAATCGACGTAGAATGTGTTTAATATTCAACTTTCAACGTCGGTTCATGTGGGAACCGACGTAGAATGTGTTTAATATTTAACTTTCAACGTCGGTTCATGTGGGAACCGACGTGGAAAGTACTTTCTACGTCGTCTCAGCTATAACCGACGTTAAATGACGACGTAGAAAGTATATTTTGTAGTAGTGATCAAAGGACTTTCACATCCTTTGTGAGTTGTCTTCCTTGGGAAGAATGATCAAAAGAAGAGTGAAATACTTGAAGTGAGTGAGAGCTATTTAGCTACAAAAAATGAGTATAATGTTAGTTCTACATTCAATTTGTCATACTTATCTCTTTTTTATGTAGATGACGAATCCGATTTGAGGACAAATTCTTTTCAAGAGGGAGAGAATAATGTGAACATGACCTATGACAAGAGCTAGAGCAAGAGAAGCAAATGAAGCTCTTTAACAAATATTGTTAGTTGACCAATTAATCAATTAATGAACTTTAACAAGTTTTAATAAGGGTTCAATTGGAAATTTAGTCATCAATTTTCGGGAGATCAAGATGGTGCATAACTGATTGACTTTTGATTATTACAATTTCAGTTACAATCGGTTATTAAGTATTTTTCAATTTCTAGGTTGATAAATCATTATTAACATTTATTTTTCTTTAGTGAATTTTTGTAACTCTGATGACAAAATTTCTTTATAAACTGAATCATTTTTATCAGAAATAACAAGTTGAGTTTTATTTTTAGAAATATTAGATTTTATCTCTTTTATCTTAGTGAGAATAATTCTCCTAAGTTATTGAGTGATTCAAGAACCCTTAGACTGTATCAAAAGACTTTAACATCATTTGTGAGTTACCTTTTTTGGAAAAAACAATTTTTTCTTTTCAACTTATGACTAAATTTCTAAATTTTCCATAAGGTTCTAACTCGCTAACATCCTAAATCATCTTTTGTGATTCATATCACTCTCAAAGCATTTCCCCATTTTTGTACCATTTCCAAATCATCTTTTTAACATTTCTTCTTGTTCAGCGGTAGCTTTTTCAAACTTTCCACTTTGTTTCCGAACCTCTGAGGGAGTGACATCGTAGAAAACAGGTAAGCACACTTCGGCCTGTTTCTTAAACCCAATTCACAATCTTTGTGAGCTCTTTCATGCACCATGTGGATGATGCATAGTCCTTTGAGAAGACAACAATGAAAACATGCGATCCTTCGATAGCCTGCAAGAGATGAGGGTCCAAGAGCTCCCCTTTCTTGATTTTTTGGTGATATCTCTGAAGGCAACACCTTTTCTCTGAAGAGCAGTAAAAAGGTGATCGGTAAAACCATTACGAGTATCCTCACCTCTAAAGCTTACGAACACGTCGAAATTTCCTGTGCGTGATGAAGAGCTAGTATGGATGCTACTGCAAGCCATTGCACAAGCCTTCTTTCGTGATATAGAAGTGGGAGGACAAGCCTTCTTTTAAAGAAAGGAGAAAGCTGGGCAATGAACAGTCTTCTAAAAAATAAGTCTCAATGACAAGCCTTTCTTAATGAGATTTTGCTTTCAATATAACCAATTTATCTCATGATATTAACCAAATGAGCTTGTATTATTTGAAAACAAGTGTTGTCATAGTTATGTTAAGCGTGTTAGATAGGTGTGTTGCTGCTTTTAGAACTGAATAATTGAACTAACTTTAAATCAAACATTTAGTTACTTCCAGCTGCACATTAGCCTAGTGAATCATACTTGATTTCTGCAAGCCATTCAGATAATTTTTGCTCGACAGGTTCATCCAATTAAACTCGTGGATAGATCCATCCTCTTCTTTGAAATTAAAATAAAATAAAATAGAGTCAGCTTTTTTATTTTTTTTTTCGTTTTAAAAAATTAATAATGTAATTCTCACATGATATTTTATTTCTCTTTCAATTTTATATTTAAATTTAAGTATTTAAATATTAAATTTTTTTAAAATTTTCTTGTGAGTTTAATTTTTTAATTTTTTTAGTAGATAAGATTAATAAGTTCATTATATTATTTTTTTATAATTTTATAATTTTTTCAATTAATTTAATTTTTTCTATTATTTCAATCAAGTTGAGAAATATAAAATTAATTTTTTTTAATTTTTATTCTTTTAAATATTTTATATCATTTTTAATGATAATTAATATTCTTTATTTTTAATTTATTTTTATTAAATTTTATTATGTTATATTTTTTAAATTTTATTATTTTTATTTATTATATATCAAACTTTATCTTAATAAAATAATTATATTTTGAAGATTAAAAATAATTAATAATTAAAACTTTTATTATTTTAAACTAATTAAATAAAAATGATCTTATTAAATATTTTCTTATAAAATAATTTTAATTTATATATAATCAAATATTTAAATATAATATTATAATATATAATAATAATACTAATATTATAAGTATTTTATTTTTTATAAAGAAAAAAATTTAAATATTTCTTTTATTTATATATATATATATATAATAAATTAAAATATATACTTTATTAATAATAATTAAAAATTCTAAATATTTATTACTGAATAAAATATATATAAAAATATTATATTATAAATATAATTATTTTTAAAAAATAATAAAAATGGAATGAATTCACAACAAAGAATCTAAAATTTAATAAATGAGAGTTTAATTTCTAACCGTCAAATAATTAAAAAAGTCGCGGAAGAAAAACCGCCCCGATACCTATATCTATGGATGCCGTTTGTCCAATTTTCTCCGTATCCTCTCCCTGCTCCTCCCACTGCTTACTTCTCCTGTTCTTCATCGCCTCGTATCTATTTTGTTTTTTTATTACTCCATGATGCTCTCCTCTCTTTGCTGCTAGGAAAAACAAAATGCGAATTTTGCAATGAATTTTGTAAATTCATAAAAAAACTTCACAAGAAAAGTCCATGAAGAATGAAGAAGTGTCTGTAGTGTTCAGTAACAATTATTTGACATCTTTTATGCTTTTAACTTTAATTTTGGTTATTTTAGTTTAGTTTTGGACAGTGTTCTCTTATCTTTAAATTTAATTTTTATTTTTCTTGTGTCTAATTTTTGTTATTCTTTTTTATTTATTTTAAAGACATTATTTGTCGGATAAAATTTGGAAAGGAGTCGGAAGATACACTACAAAAAAAACGCTTATTATCTACGGGTAAAATCCGTAGGTAATGCACTTACCTTAACAACATATTTTTATTTATTACAACCCCTCCCTTATTTTTTATTATTACCTGGAACCCCCTCCCCTTTATATTATATTTTTATTATCTATTATATTTTTGAAACTTTAAATTATTATTAGATTAAGGGAATTGTCATTGGCAGGATTGAACCCGTGACTTAGAGTTGAGATCGATACTCCAACCACTAAGCTATTAGGTTATTTTGAAAATAATTTACAAATAAATTATATTTATATTTATCCAGTGTAAATATATAAATATAAAATATATAAATATAAAATATATAAATATAAAATATATAAATATAAAATATATAAATATAAAATATATATAAATATAAAATATATTTATATTTTGATATATTTATATATTTATATATTTATATATTTATACATTTATATATTTGTATTTATATATTTATATTTATATATTTATGTATTTATATATTTATGTATTTATATATTTATATATTTATATATTTATATATTTATATATTTATATATTTATATATTTATATATTTATATATTTATATATTTATATATTTATGTATTTATGTATTTATATATTTATGTATTTATCTATTTGTGTATTTATGTATTTATGTATTTATATATTTATGTATTTATATATTTATATATAATTATATATTTATATATTTATGTATTTATATATTTAAATATTTAAAATAATTTGAAACGCTTCGAGATCCACTATTGATTTGTATCAATAGTTTTAATTATCTGAATGATTTGCAATTTGATTTTTTCAATATTTGCTAGAATTATTTTTCTATTGTTTTTATATCTTTTCTATAAAATTATTCTAAATTTTCTTTTGGGGGGATAATATTATGGAATATCCAATTTATGCACCAAACCCTTATAATATGTTAGACTCACCATCCAGAGAACAATTCGCTCATCTTCCACACCCTGTATTACCAGGATTAGAGTTTGTTAATAATTTAAATGATGCTAATCTTAGACCAGAACATAGTCCAAATCCAGTAATCAGTATGGTTAGAAGAATGTGTTGTCTTAAAAGAAAATTTAGAAAACACATGAATAAAACTGAATTGAAACAAAACGACCCAATTTTACATAATTGGATAAGAATCTGGTATCAATGTAATATTAGATATCTTAAAAGAAAATTAAGAGAAGTAGGAAATTTTTGTGCTTAAGTTCAAACTAATATCTGTTTAAAATTATATCTTAATCTAACAATCCTTAAGTAATTAAGAGTTTAGACATTCTAGTTCTTTAAGGGTATAAGTGTAGTACTGCGAGGTACTTATACGATGGTCAGCCCTAGGAGCACGTGGTCCCGGTAGTAAGTCCTGAGAGAGGCAGTAAAACCGTTGGTTTAGCGTGATCGGTAAAGGTGGTCCCGTAGCATGGAAACCCGTGAGAGAACAAGAATGCCTAATTTCTTAAGAACCTTAAGCGATCTAGGATTAAGAAACAAGGATAAACAGATAATAGTAAGAACCCCGCAGCAAGAAGCCTCTTCCTCTAACCAACAAGATAATAAAGATAAAGAATTAGAAATTGCAGAAATAGAAAACTCCCTACATAATTGGTCAATACCTATAATAAAAAAATGTGAAGTTTATAAACAACATAAATTCTGGACTGTTAACCAAGATGAAATCCACATAGTAGAATATAGCTATCCAGGAACTAAAAATAATAAAATAATAAATATTCTAGAACAAAATATATTAGACCAACATATTAGAAAGGGATATAATTTTATACATTTAGGATTAATACAAGTAGCCGCCAAACCTAATTATAGAATAGGAATTAATAGTCCAATACTAATACTATTACGTGACATAAGACTTAAAAGATTTAATGATTCCATAATAGCCATATTAGAAAGTAACTTACATGATGGTCCCGCTTTCTTTAATTGTTATCCTAATTTTTCCATGAATATTAGAAATGATAAAACAAGTAATGCCATAAAATTATATGTTCAAATTCCTGATGAAATTGTAGATGAGGAATCTGGTCCCATACAAATTATATATAGAATTTATTATAAAGTAACAATAATAGATTACAACTATAGAGCCCTAAGATCTTCATCCAAGGAAGAAACAATCTTGGTAGAAGCTAACCTTAAAAAATCATCCGTTCAAACACCTAAAAGATTAAGTCATAATGAAATCATTAGTCATATACCTGAAGAATGGAAATTAGAAAACATTATAGAAGAACCAAAAATATATAATACACAAATTAGAGAAATAATACAAGAAGGTCCAAATATTAGATTAAGAATGAATAGGTCATCTTCTTTAACAATAAGAGAACCACAAGTAATTCATAAAGGACAATCCTCAAGACACTTAATAGATGGATCAACATTAAATCTAGATTTAAAAGGAATACATAATGTAACTCCTATAGTTACAAGACCAGTATATGAAGAATCTAAGAAATCAGAATCACCTCAATATTCTCCAACAGCCTCACAAATTTTAAATACCTTAAACAAAGTAGAATCTTTCGAAATAGATAAAAATTGGATTAGGCAAGATTTCGAAGCTAATTACAATAAAGATAAAAGAGATTGGTATTTTAAAACTTATAGTAAAGAAGAAACTATAAAATTTAGAAAAGAATTTTATGATTATATGGAGCAAAAAGAGATAAACCTTTATTTTTTTGATTGGTTTTCACAATATAGTAAAATAAACCAATTAGAATATCCCTTTAACAACAAAGAATTAAATCCATTAATTAAAACAACTACTAGTTGGAAAACATTAAAAAATGAAATAATAGAATCAGAATTAGATGTAGAAGCTAGTCCATACAAAGATACAATTATAGATGATAAGCCTATAGAAAAAAGAGATATTAAAAAAATAAACTCCCAATTAAATTATTCTAATACCATGTTAGAAGTAATGTCAAAACAACTAGATAGAATAGAAAACAAAAATGAAGTAGAAAATGCTAATAGTTCAAATAAGACTAAAGAACCAAAAAGTCCAATATATAAAGTACTAGAAATACCTCAAGAAGAATTAAATGATATTAAATTAGGAGATAATACTGGATTAAAAATAGATGAATTAAAAAGAATGTTTGAAGAACTAAACTTAAACAAAAACATGATAAATACTTTATCGTGTTTTTATTAAAAAATTCATTCATAATATTATTTTTAATTCTCACACATGTCCAGTATTATCTCCTAATTTAATATCATTCTTAACTAATTGACTCAATTTACTTGATTTTTTTTTTTGATTCTTATTTGACACTAATTGTATTCATTTTTGTTTTCTATTCTATCTGAGTTGTTTTGACATTACTCTAACATGTGTAATGAATTTAATTGGGAAGTTTATTTTTTAATATCTCTTTTTTCTATAAGGCTTATCATCTATAATTACTTGTATGGACTAACTCACATCAATTCTGATTCTAGTATTTCATTTTTTAATGTTTTCCAACTAGTAGTTGTTTTGTAGTTTAATTACTTTGTTGTTAAAAGTGTTGTGATTCTATATTGTGAAATAATCA